TCTAGGGGGCAGTCCCCACAGTGCACACAGCATTCTCATACCAAGCAGAATCCCCCACCCCCACCCCATGCCAGAATTCCTCTGACCTGGTTGCATAGAGGCAGTCAGTGTGACAGATTAAGTCAGGGGGGCTTAGTATAGAATTAGGGTGCAACAGGAGAGGTGAGTAGGGGATTTGGGGTATCCAAGTAGTAAGATTTTCAGTCATCTCTGCAGGAAGAAGAGGAGGCGGACTGCCTCAGCCCTCTGGTAGCATCTGATTTACTTGACCTTTCCCTGAAACATGGCTTCCCATCTGCGTTCTCACTAACTTCTCTGGCCAGGTTCCTGGCCACCCTGCCTCAGTCTTCTTGGCCAGCTCCTTTGTGAATGTTGATGTTTCCTTCTTCTGTTAGGGCTGGGCCCTGTTCTCATCTCTTTTCCCCTACTTTTTGCTCTCTTAACCAGATAACCCATCTGGGCCCATGACCCTGTAGCATCCCTGTGCTGACCATGCCCTGTTCTCTTTTTCCAATTCTGACTTCTCTGGACTCCAGACTTTTATCTAACTGCCTGTTTGACAGGTAGCTCTACTCGGCTCTCCAAGCACTACCTCAGAGGAACGATATCTCAAACTAAACTCGAGATTAGTTGCCTAAACTTGCCTGATTCATCCATGTCCACCTCTCTCATGTGGACATGGATCCTCTTGGCAGCCATCCAGGCATGCCACTCAGAAACCCAGCTACCGTCCTTGGCACCCCTCTGTTCTTCACTACATTGGGCAGGGTAGCTTAGGGGAGCTGAAACACACCACCGAACTTTAGCACAATAACCTTTTTGTGGACATGTATCACAGACTAATGTGGTCAGCGAAAGTGGCAGATGAACTTGACTGCATAAGTCACTCATGGGTCCAGGCTCCTTCCATCATGGAACATGACCATTCGCAACATGGCCTCAAGGATGCAGCAGGGAGAGGAGAGAGAAATGTAGACTGTTGCAGACACCAGTTGTCACTCCCATCCACTTGCCATTGGTCGTAACTCAGTCCTATGAGCCTGGTGGTTACCAACAGTACTTGGTAGAGTTGCTGGTCCTGTCCAGTCAGTCTGTCACCAAGCCCTGTTACCTTGCCTCCAGAGTCTCCGATAGAGAACTAACCCCTTTACATCCCAGGTGCCAAGGCTCCATATCTAGCACCTTCGACCTTCCGTGGACTACTGTTATTTCCATGCAGACATGTCCTGTCTGTTTCTCTTCTCTTGAAATACATAGTATCTTCCCCTCAGCCAGATCAGATCATGAGAGTCCTTGTCTTAAAACCCATCTGTGGGAGGCAGAAAATGTCCCCCTTCCCAAGATACCCACATTCCAATCCCAAGGCCAGGAAAGACCCTTGCCTTCTAAGGTAGCACATTCACAGGCTTGGAAGGTGAAGCTGAAAGTTCCAGCCCTCTAATTCCAGGGTTCCCCTGGCAACTAGCCCCCACCTTCCAATATCACCTCATTAGCATAAACTCAGGTGGGGTTAGCAGGTGCTTAGGAATAACTCCACCACTCTGGAAATACTAGGCACCAGGAGGAAAACCAAACGTGTTTCTTACTGTATTACAATATCATATCCCCTAAATCCAGATACTGACATTTGGACCCTGGCATTATGGTATTTAATTCTAAGCTGTTCATCTGCCCTAGGGGTGCAGGGCCTTTAGCCTCTGAGGGGACCCAAGATGAGGCATAAGGAGCATGAGGAGGTATCTAGTGTACGTCTATGCTGGGCCATGTGGTGGGGTTGGATAGGTTTGGCAGATGCCCCTTGGGAAGTGGATATTCTGGCATTGGGGTCAAGGAAGACCACCCCAGAGTCCGCATCGTCCCAGCCAGTCTTCTGGGTCCTGGTGGATCCCAAGTGTATCTCTGCTTCAGGTCACTCAGTGTTGGGGGAACCCTTAGAGACACCCAGCCCTCGTGTGCATGTAGGGAAACTGAGTCAGTGTGTGTAGGGGGTTGGGGGGGGAATGTGTGTGAAGACTTCCAGGGTTCTGCAGTTCTGCAGTTCTTGGCAGACCAGAGCACAGTCTTGTGGCTGCTGTGTGGGTGCTGAGGGACACTGTCCTTCCCCTCCCTCTGCTCACAAATTCAAGCTCTTCAAATTTATTTTCTGCACCCTGTAGCCCTGGACCCGATGGGCTCTGGCTCAGTTAATAGCTGTAAGAGAGTGAGACTCTGGCTCTGCCATCTGACCTTGACCTCCACCTGGAGCCCCTCCCTGCATGCCCTCCTGCCTCCACCCTGCCTCCACCCTGCCTCGCAGCCCTCATGGCTGCTCACTCTTTCTAAAGTGCTGTGACCCCAGGATCGTCAGCTGGCAGTAGCAGCTGGCTGTGCCAGGGCCTAATGTTCCCCATTAAGGGAGCATCTGCTGGCTGGGGCTCTCAGGGCATGGACCGGACACAGCCATGCTCTCTGGCCATTCCACAGTCAACACGGCCTGTGGCAGAGATGTGCCGCTGGGTGCCTTTCAGGACATGATGTCATAACCTGCCATGTGCTGGCTGGACATCCTGCTGTGGTGGGTGGACAAGAATCATCAATAACTGGCCTGTTGCAGTGCAGCGAGGGACTCATCCCCATGTGGTCCCAGTGTCCTCAGCCTGTTGTCCTCTGAGCTTTCTGGAGTGCTCCCACCCCCAAACTCCATCCTTCTGGGAGCAGAATGCTGCAGGCCAGTGTGACTGGGTAGAATTCCAGAAGAACCAGGCCTGAATTCTAAGAGATAGCGTTGCCTGCCTGGAGGGGACCCAAGATGAGACCTAAGGGGCAGCTAGCATATGCCTGTGCTGGCCATGCGGTGGGGTTGAATGGGAAGCTGTGGGTGACTGCTGGGTCCAAACAGCACCTGAACACCAGTCATGAACCCCAACAGTCTGTGAGCTTATGAGGCCCACCCAGGCTCCCTTTGCTGCCTAGCTCTTGGCCAGGCTTCCCTGCCCTGCCAGCAGCCCTTCACTGACCTTTCTTTATCCCTGCTGGGTTCTGTCTGGTCTCCCCACCGGGGCACCTGATTGAAGGATGAAACGAGGGTTGACAGCCATGGTCGGCATTCACTGGTGAGCCTGGAGCTTCACATGTGTGGCCTTATACCCCTTCACAGAGGCCCCCGAGGTGGGTCGGTCCCTGCTGGCTGTCCCTCACTGGCAGAGAAACCCTCTCCAGAGCCCAGGTTTATAGAGCTCAGCAGGATGCAGGCCCTTTCCAGGAACCCTGCTGTCAGACACGGTACACCTCTGCCTCCAGCTCCCGCCTCCCCTCCCCCACCCCCCCCGCTTCCCTCCTCTCTTCGCCACATTACTTCCTTTGCTACTCCGTAAATGATGGGTCTGGGGTCTCCCTCACTTCATGTTCTTCTCATTTCATGCTCTTCCCTGGGGTGAACTCCTACCCCATGGCCTCAGTGTGAAAAGCAAGGCTGGCTTTAGAGATCATGTTAGAGATCAAGGGTGGTAGGGCTGCTGATGGCTGCGGGCTGTAGACCTCTGGCCAGAGAGACCTTTGGCAAAGCTCAAGGGCACAACTGTACGGGGTTGAGTGAGGAGACCTTAGGCTGCTGCCACCATGGTCCCATGGTAACTAGGTAACTCTTACCTAGGTGGGGTGAGGGGATGGAGATAAACTTCCATACTAATTGGAGGCTGAGCCAGGACATGGTGAGCGAATGGATATGGTACATAAAGGAGAAGGAGACAAAATGGGTTGGAAACAGGAAACCAGATTGTGGTAGAAGATGCTGAGTTGAGTTTTGGACACGCTGCTGCATGTGCTTGGATTGTCTCTGGCCCTCAAGACGGGGGTGTCCAGCTGTCAACTGGCCATGGGAGGCCCTTGAGAGTGCAGGAGATGGGATGTGGAGTTGTCCGTGTATAGTTATGTCCTGTGGTCCATGAGCTGGGTGACCCTGTCCACTGTGAGTGGGACGAAAGGCCAAGGGCAGGAGTTGCAGCACACTCGGGCAGGGCAGGCTGTAGCCCGGTCAGTAAGTCTGAAGAGGTGGCTGGTGGCCCAGGCATGAGGCATATCAGAGGAAGGCGGGGGGTGGGGGCAGTCACATGGAAGGAGAGGAGGTGGGGATCGGGAATGCAGAGAACGTCACGCAGAGTCAGGCAGGAGCCCAGCAAGAGAGCACGTGACAGAAAGAGGGGTCAGAGTGGATGCTGAGTGTCCAGGTCCCAACATCTGGTGGGCAAGCTTGCATTCCCCCTTGCAGTGGCTCGCAGCCAGTGAGCCGCTGGTCTCAAGGCTCCTTCTCGGCTTGTCCTTGCTCATCCTCCTTCAGCATCCCTCGACCTGGGGCGGGCCACAGGGGTGATCTCTGCTGTGTTCTCTGCCTGCCCCCATTTCTTTGAGCTCAGAGTCCCTTCATGATTCTGGGCTTTGACCATGCAGACCTCTGTCTGGATAACTTTCCTCTCTCTCTCTCTGCTCATTTTGTGCTCCTCCAAGTCCCAGCTCCAGGTTCCAGGTCATCACAGCTCCAGTCTACCATGACCTGAAAGGCAGCTGTAGACGGAGCCTCACCCCAAGGCTAGCCAGTTCCTCTGCATCTCCATGCAGAGGAGATGGAGCTGAAGCGGAGCCGTGCTATTGGCAGCGGCTGGAGGACAGGAGGAGCTAGTGCAGGCTCACGTCGGTGGGTGTGACAGACACCCCACACTCTCATTCTTAGGGACCCCACCCTGACTAGTTGCTGGTCTGCTACCCCTTCTCCAAAATGCTTCCAGACTTGGGGTGCAGGATCCGGTGGAGCTATGTAAAATAGATGACTTCCATCCCACTGCAGGGGCTCCTGAAAGTTGCAGCTCCTCTTTGGTGGTAAGATTTGCTTCCCCTCAAGCTACTCTCCCTGCAAGGACCTGTCTCAGAGGCATCTGTGTGTGTGCTTGCATCTGTGTATGTATGAACGTGTATGCGTGCGTATGTGTGGGGCCAGGGCCCTGCTTACCATGACTCTTTCCCCACAGGCTGCCCCGGAATGTGGGACAACATCACATGTTGGAAGCCTGCCCAAGTGGGTGAGATGGTCCTCGTCAGCTGCCCAGACCTCTTCCAAATCTTCAACCCGGACCAAGGTGTGTCTCCTGTACGCTCCCCGTCCTGGGCCTCTTCAGGCCACATTTGATCTAGTCTGCACCCCACACTCAGTCCCCCCCAGCTCCACGGGCAGGAAGATATTACCTGCTGCAGCATTGATGTGCTGGTGGAGGGCTGAAACCATAGATTTGCACACTCAGGGACACAGAAGCACCCCTTGGGCATCTCTATGTGGAGATGTGTATTATGGGCAGACAAGACTGTGCTCTCAGGTGTGTGCTTGATCACTTACCCAGGTGGAGACCTTGGACAAGGCAATTCACCCCTCCCTGCCCCAGTCCCTAGTCTGGCAATAGCAGTATGGTGTGGTGACCATGTGTGCTCATGGGTAGTGACACATGTGGAAATCTCTTTGTGCAGCACTGGGCTGATTTTACTGTTTGATAGTCAGTCGACACTGTTATCATTGTCACTCACAAAGATGCTCAAAGCCCTGGACACAGCCTTGCACACACATGCTTGTGCATGTGACACTCACAGGCACTAGACACCAGACACCACCTATGCTCACGCTCTCATAATCATTTAGATTTGGGCACAGGGCCCCAAACCAGTGGATCAGAGCACACTGCTCAGCAAAGAAAGTTCTTGGTGCCTGTAGCCCTCAGGCAGCAGTGAGGGTTCAGATAGGAAGAGCAGTGGTCCTTCCCCCTTTACCCCTGGGGTACCCTGGGCTGCAGGTGAGAGGACTCTGGACCCATGGGCGGTACAGACAGTGACTGGCGCTTGGTGGTATCTCCCCTGTAAGTGGTCCCTTGTGGGGTCAGACAAGCTCAGTTTTGGGGCTTGTATGTGAGGTCTTGGGCACCAGTAAAGTGCAGATGTTCAGAGCCCCACCCTAATTTGAGGATTCCCGGGTGGAAGGTGACTGAGCTTTGTGACCCAGAGGAGAAGATGAATGGAAGGGGATAGAGCCTGACTGCTAGAGAGGCTTTCATGACCACGTCTCCATGGGGCAGGCTGGAGGGGGAGCCCGTGGCTCTCTCCTTTGGGTGGGAGTCTGGTGGGCATTCCAGAACAGTTCCCACTTTTGACTGAAGCCTTGTGGATTCTCAGAAAAGTTTTGCCTCTGGCCAGGTCACACTGCCCGAAGGAGAAGTGAAGAACAAGATTGTGGCCCTAACTTCCTTTCCCACGTGGTTATCGGGGAAACAGGGCACCATGTGGGGCTGGGCAGCAGGGGAGGTGTAGGCGACTTACTATGGGCCACCCTGACTGAGCCTGGGTTGGACTCTTGATGTAAGAAACCTGGAGGCTGGGGTCTGCAAGGGCAGAGGGATTCAAGTCATGGTGTGGCTGTGCACAGGTCCTTGTGGCCTGGACTCAGCTTCCTCCTTCCACTGCCTAAGATGCGCTTCTAGAAGTGGAGCATTTCCAGGCTTTGCTCTATTTTGGGTCCTGCCTGCCTCTGCACCAGTCCTGTTTGTAAGGGGTTGAAGGCAAGTTCCCTTTGAAACCTGAACCCCAGACCTTGACTCTGCTCTGGAGGGCAGGTGCTGGCAGGATGGGGCAGGGTAGGTAATGGGGTGATGTTGGAGTCCCATGGCTCCATTTGGGCTCCCACCCAAAGAGCAGAGCAAACGGTGGCTGTGATGTGCTCCACCTCACCTTCCCTACTCCCCTTTCTGGGGACAAATGCCAGTTCAGGAGTCAATGCTTCCACTTGACAACTCCAGGAACAGGTGTGGCCCAGAGCAGTACAGGAAGTGAATTTGGAAGGAGACAGACAGGAAAGTTGCTGAAGTGAGAAGCACACGGTGAGTGGTGGCGTGACAGGCAGCTGGTGAGTCGGCCCTGCCTCCATTTCATCCCTTTAGAAAGCAACTTTGGGCCCTCCGTGGTGGCACAGCGGGTTAAGGTGCAGCACTGCAAGTGAGCCACAGCTGCTTCAGTGCGAGTTTGATCCCCGGCCACAGAGGTGACCCACATGGCGTGGCAGACCTCTCCTGACCCGCCTGCTGCTCCCCTCAGCAATGCACTTCATCAATCTGCCTGTTCTGCTCTCCACTCTGTCTCTGGTGAATCTTTTCACTGCTCCTGCACTTCTGGCCTATACCCCAGTTCTGTATGCATAAATAAACAAATCTTAAACAAAAAAGAAAAAAGAAAGAAAGAAAGAAAGCAACGTCATCACTTCCTCCGTTCACCTACCCCTGTCAGTCATTTATTTAAGGTTTCTTGAACATCGACTCTGGGTCAGATACCATGGCAAGACTGCATCTTTTCGACCACTATGAAAAGGCAAAATGAATCAGCAATAAAATAAGATTTTCTTAAGATAAACTTTCCAGACTCTATCCCTCCCTCTGGCAATTGTACAATGAACGTGTTATTCACATCAGTTCTTAATGGTTCATTAAGACAGGGACTTTTAGCATCTCTATTCACAAAGCTAGATTAGTGAGACTTGCCTTAAGTACTCAGACAGTCGAGAATGACATCCCACATTCTATTTCCTGGTCTCCAGATCTTGTGTGTGCTGTTATAGCCATGCTTTGCAGACTGTTAGACGTACAGACACGTGCATCTCTCTTCCTGTCGGATGCCTCTGCGCTCTTCTCTTTAGCTGTGTCCTGCTGAGGTGGAAGTGTCTAGTGGTCTACAGACTTCTGGGCCCCCCACCAGAGCTTTTCTCCATTTTGGGAGTGGGAAGGGGAAGAGGAAGGACTAATCAGCAGGGTCTAGTGACAGCAAACCCCAACTTCAGCCCCCTGGCTCACCTCTGCCTTCTCTTTCTCTCTCTGTTTCAGTCTGGGAGACCGGAACCCTTGGTAAGTGGAACCTTGTTGGCGACAGACTGCTGATCGGTTATGCATCCAGCCATCTGGGAGCCCAGCTCTGACAGCTGTGTTGGGTGAGGGTGGAATGGGAAACTGACCAGGGACCAGGTTCTCTCCTGCTCCTCCTTGACCACCCTGGAGGTGAGGGGAGCACACAGGAAGATGGAAAACTAGCCCTTGGTGATTATGGGCTTGTTAGGGACAATCCAATTCATCCCTGGAGGGATGTGTTTGGATACATGCAGACCTATGCATGTATCAAGCCCACATAGATAAGTGGACATTTCCAATGACCAAGAAGTTGGAATGTACACCCAGTGCAAAAGCAGAAGAGACCTAATGGTGGCAGCCTATAGTCATAATAATGAAGAAGTCAGGGCAGCCTTCCTGGAAGAGGCAGCATGTCAATGGGATCTTGAAAACAGGACTTTAACAAATGGAGGGGGGATATGGGCATTCATTGTTCATGGGATTCAGCATCAAAAAAGGGTGCAGATGAGAATAAAGGGTAGGGAGAGAACAACAAAAAATATGAGGATGAAGTCTTTGGAGTTCTGGGTTCCTTTGATGAGAGTGGTTTGGGGGCTGCAGTGGGAATTGAGTAGCAAAGAAACCCATGCCCAAGACCCTTGTGAGCATTTCTGTTCCCTTCACTTTCTCTTCTACCCTGGAGACCCATTGCCATATTCTGTGATTCCCCCAGGAGGAGTACTGAGTCATGGGTCCTCACGGACATCACAGATATATAAAGCAAATGAGATTGGCTTTAAAAGGTCCAGCGTGTCAGAAAATGTGTGTGGTGCTGGCCCTTCACTGAGCAGGTCCCTGTTCTTTAGCCCAGGGGCAGTCTCAGCCTTCTAGGGTGGAGCGTGAGCAGCGGATGGCCCTGGCAAGCTGATAGCTGGATGTTCCGACTCATGGCCGCATTCTGTGTTTTGCAGGAGATTTTGATGATTTCATTGAAAGTAATTCCTTGGCTCTTTCAGGTAAGGGACAACTGGGGTAGAGGATGAACAGATGGAGAAGAGTGTCTATGGACACAGGAGCTTTGGGGCCATTTTTGGGAGTCACAGATCTCCTAAAGCCCTGTCGTGGACTCCAGTCTATTTTAGATAAACTTGTGATGCTTTAGACTCTGACATGTGTAGTGTTTCTCAAATTTCAGTTGTGATCAGAGTTACCTGGTGGGATTGTTAGAACCCAGGAGGTCCTTGGGCCCAGCCCCAGAGTCTCTGGTTCTATAAACCTGGGATGGGGCCTGAGAGCATGCTTTTCCAGCCATTCCCCCAGGTAATGCTGATGTGCTCGTCTGGGTAGGGCTCCCATGTTGAGAACCATCATCCTAAGGTTCTGTGTTGCTGGAGCAGAGCAACCTAGTGAAACAGGCACAGCCAGCATGGAGTTTTAACAGTCTGTAAAGCACCCCACCTTCCGGAGATGGCTTGAGAACAATAGAACGGCAAATTCAGAAAATAGATCTGAACAAAAGGGGTTTATACTTTCCTGAGCCCACACTGTTTCATAGAAAAGAAAAGGAAAGGAGGAAAATAAAAGAAAGGAAATGGCCTTTATCTCTAGGACACATTAAGAAATTGTTTTTCAGAGCGAGCAGCTCCCCTTGCCTTGTCTTACCACTCGGATGGAGGCAAAGCAGAGAGCTGAGGCCCGGGGAGGGAAAGAAACTTGGCCGTGGCCAGGATCCCCTGGAGCGTGCGGACTTTGGAAAGCAGTGTTCAGAGAGAGGGCTTGGAAGGAGCAGCCGAGAGGGCTTTGCCAGAAGAAGGAACAGTTTGTTGGGACGGGGGAGCGCCTCTGCCCGTGGGCCTGCCAGATGCCTGCCTTGTCTGTGTCATGGACGCAGAATCCAGAAGAGATGGAGACCGGCCTCCCCGTCTGGCAGAGAGCTCTCTTTAGGGCCGCCCTCCCGCTGCTGCTTCCCACAGCCCAGCGAGCACATTTCTGACTCCCTGGCCTGACAGGAATGGGCCTTAGTTCTTTCCACTCAGATGGCAAGGGCGTGAGATTGGAAAAGTGGAGGCAGTCTCGGCCTTCTTAGCTTCCACCTTTGCCTCCTTCTTGAGGTTCCTTGGCCACAGAAGGGATATTGTTTTAGCAGTATGGGTGCTGGAGCCCCGTTTTTGCTGATGTCTCTTGTTTTACGTAATGTCCTGGCCCCTGGCCCCTATGCAGGGAGGAGCCTTGCCCGTGCGCCCTGATACCCCAGGTAAACTCCCAGGAAGTTGTTCTGGGGGCGGGGGTCAGTCTGGGCCTGGACTGGAGGCAGAAGGGATTGCCGCCTTCTCCTTTCTGGATTTGCAAGGCTCATCCCTGATGATTGTTGGATTAGGAGGAGGCTGAGGAGGCGTTAGTCAAGACTCAAATAGCCTGAGGTGGGGTGAAAAGCAGCCTGGCCTCCACTCTGCAGCCAGCAAATGACTCCCGCCTCCCTGTGTTCCACAAAATGGCCTTTAAAGTTCATCAAACGAAAATTAAAGTCCATTAGTGACAGGAAATAGTCCTCCAAACCTGGAAAGGCGAAAATTTTTTTTTAAAAAGTCCTAAATATATGTCTTAATAAGATCTGGTGCTAGGTTAATGGAGGTCTGGTCCTTGTTAATTAAGCAGGCCATGTGTCCCTCTGGTGCTGGCTGTTGCAGCTGCTGGGAGGCCCAGAGCTCTGAGTGAAAGCAGCACTGAGAGTCTGTTTCTTGAGGTGTGAAAGGAACTCCTGCCTCATGGTCACCTGAGGGGATTCCTGAATGCGGAATCCCTGTGTGAGGTGATGGGCGATGTGTGCCTCATCAGCGGGGCAAAGCAAGGAGGTCAAGATGCCACCCATTTGGAGTTCAGCCCCTTGGCAGGTGGGACACAACCTGCCTTTGTGACCCCAGGTCTTGAGTACCCAGAAGGCTGGCAAGTGCTGACGGGGCCTACGGAAGGGGCCGAGGCCTCAGCATTCGCCTGCTCTGGGAGGAGAGGTGCAAGGGAGTTGGATTCAGCCCACTCAGGGCCCTCCCTCTTGATTAAGCGATGATCTTGTGCCATGTGCTCCCCACTGGCACCCCCAGTCTTAGTAAAAGCTGAACTTGAGGTCATAGAAATCACTTTTCCCTCAGACAGCGGGGGATTTCTTAAATCTTCAGTTGCTGTGTTTCCCAGATGGACATATGGGATGGGATTCCTTCTAGGAATTCCCACGTAAGAAGTATTTTTGAATAAGAAATCCCGGCCCGTGAATCACTGCCATGCCTTACTGAATTTTCGTTTTCCCTGCAGACAGGAGGGTGGTGAGCCGGAACTGCACGGAGTATGGTTGGTCGGAGCCCTTCCCTCACTACTTTGATGCTTGTGGGTTTGAGGAATATGAATCGGAGACGGGGGACCAGGTGAGGGGCTGTCCTACCTCTGGAGGCATTGAGGCTGAGGCTGGGGAGGCTGGGAGCTGGGGTATTCCCAGCAGGGACTTTGGAGGACTAGAAACTCAGGCCCCTTGGTAGGCTCAGGAGTGCTTGCTGTGCACCCCAACAGGACGCCTCGACTTTTAATCACTCACCAGGGCTGAGAAACAGCTGCAGGGATCCCTCAGATCCCCACCAAGTGGCCCCCACCTTCCTGGTGGGGCCCCTAGCATTCCCCTGTTCAGCCACTTAAGGGTTGGGCCCAACAGAGGTGCCTAGATCCCTGGCCAGGCTAAGACTGTCTCTGTGGTGGCTGATCCGTGCTCTGCATTCAGCCAGCATTGACTGAGCACTGCAGAGTGAGGCCACTGCAGAGGGAGAGTGCAATTCAGTGGGGCTGGGGGCGTGGGGGCTCATAGTGGTAGGGTTCAAGTGAGGAAGTGGAGGAGGTGAGACAGACAGGAAGAGAGGAAGAGGCACTGCAGTGTGGGCCCAGAGGAGGCAGGCCCTGGCCTGGAAGATGATGTGAGCCAGAGGGGGCCGGGGTTGGCGGCAAGGCCCTGTGGAGCCTGTATGTTCTGTGCCCTGCTCCAGGATTACTACTATCTGTCGGTGAAAGCTCTGTACACGGTCGGCTACAGCACGTCCCTGGTCACCCTCACTACTGCCATGGTCATCCTGTGTCGCTTCCGGTGAGACCCCCAGCCACGCTGGTGTGTGCACAGCCCATCCTGGCTCAGAGCCCTCGCTCTGTCCCCTGACCACCCCCCACTGGAGTGCCCTTGCAAATCATTGCTCCTACCCTGGGCTAACAGATGGGAAACTTGACCTCCAAGAGGGCAAACAGCTTGTCCAGGGCTGCACATCAAGGCAGACCCTGAGCAGGACACCAGCATTTCTCACTTTGATCTTCCTTGTCTAGACAGAGAGGTCATAGCTAGAAGTGGCTATGCCAGGTAGGGGGCTAGGTGACAGGAGCCTTCAAATGAGGATTTAGAGAGGTGGGAGCAATGGGGTAGTCTGGGTGGTCTAAGTGGGGGGTCCTGTTGACACAAAGCCATGGAGTTGGTCCAGAGCTCACCTGGGTGGAGGGTTGAAATGCTTTGGGGGTCCCTGGCTTCAAAGCGTCTTTCTTCCCTGGTCGGCTGACACAGGAAGCTGCACTGTACCCGCAACTTTATCCACATGAACTTGTTCATATCGTTCATGCTGAGAGCCATCTCTGTCTTCATCAAGGACTGGATCCTCTATGCAGAGCAGGACAGCAACCACTGCTCCATCTCCACCGTGAGTTAACTGAGTCTTGCCAGGAAGCCTCCCGCCCCACCTTCTAGGACATTCCTTCCCTGCCTGATGCCCCACTACCCAAGTGTTTCCTGCAGGTGAAGGCATTGGCCCACTGAAATGGAAATCAGGCATGACCGTGCAGTAATAGCAAATGATAGCCCCGTGTGACATGACTTCCTGTCCCTTGGCCTATGTGTGCACTCGACAAACTGTTGAGGGAGGTCAGGTGGAAATGCCAATCCCACTTGACTGAGGAGGGAATTTGGCTCAGAGTGAGAGCTGGTGGTCCTTGACCATTTAACTAGCTCATGATGGAGCTGGAGGACTGATTGCCAGGGGTCCCTCCAGGTCCCCTCCCCCATTCTCAAGCCTCTGTCCCTTGGCCTGTCAGGGCCTTGAAGGTAAGCAGCGAGGAGGCATTCACTGATGGTGTGGGCCGGAGAGAGCAGTCTAGAGCATAGGGCCTTGACCTGGGAGAGCACCCTTAGAGGGGGGTCTTCTGTGTGATTCCTGGGGTTCCAAGAGTATTCCCCTCACTACTGTAATGTCTAAAACCTTCATTTTACCAAGCCTCCTGTGGCAACCCTCCTACTCACTCATCTGTGGGGCGTGAATGGGATAGAGGTAGAAAAATGGGGGAGAACAAGCCTGTGAAGAGGAGCGTGCTCTCTTCCATCCTACCCCCACTCTTTCCATATGTGAGGTGTCCATGAGGCTTCTTGAGCTCAGAATCCTGAGATGTTGCAACATCAAACTCCTCAAATCGAGGAGCATTGAGTCTTTCAGCCATGTGGAGCCAAGCATGCCAGAGCTGAGGGGCCCTCAGGATTCTCCCTGGTCTCCTGGATTTTCAGGGTCTGGGGGTCTTGTAGGGGACATGCGATTCCCTCACCTTCTTGAATCTCCTGGCAGGTGGAATGCAAGGCCGTGATGGTTTTCTTCCACTACTGTGTGGTCTCCAACTACTTCTGGCTGTTCATCGAAGGCCTGTACCTTTTTACCCTACTGGTGGAAACCTTCTTCCCTGAGAGGACATACTTCTACTGGTACACCATTATTGGCTGGGGTAGGTCACTGACTGTGGCCTGGACAGGTTCAGGCCTCAGGGCCAGGTATGTCCTTGGTCCCACAATCAAGGTGTGTCAGATCAGTGTGAGGCAGACTGCCATTTCTTGGACCCTCTCTTGCCATTCCTGCCCCCAGGAAGCCCGCCGTGGGAGGGACAGGGTATATTCAGGAGACTTTCCGATAGATGAGACAGCCCACGGTCGGGGGAGACATACACCCCCAGGTGGCCTGAGTATGTTGGACAGTTAGGGTGCTGGGACTCCAGGTCTGAGAGGGGAAGGTACCCCATGGTCAGAGCCCCAAGTCTGAGAGGGACACTGGACTTGAAGATTTTCTCATTTTCATGAGACTCCTCTTCTTGTTCTCTCAGGGACTCCAACCGTGTGTGTCACAGTGTGGGCTGTGCTGCGTCTCTACTGCGACGACACGGGGTGAGTAAAAGTGCCCAGAACTGCGATCTGGGCTTGAGTAGGTTCTCACAGATGTAGAAACCTCTTACAGTAGGTTCTTACTTTTCTGTGTAGGTTCTTGTTTACTGCCCTGACTCCACATTTACAATCTCAGGCAAATCATCCAAAAAGAGGATCTATCTGCTCATTCAGCCTTGGGCACCAACTGAGCTGTGAATGCACACAGGCACATCTTTGCCTGAACCCAGAGATTATTCCAAGCTTTCAGAGTCTTGTTCTGTGCCTGGGCCCAAATCTGAGTGTCTTTATTCATTTATTTTTAATGGAGGGAAGGAAGAATGTTGAGTCCGAGTTGCACCCCCAAAAGCCCTAGGTCTGATGGGGACCTTGGCCTTTGCCCGTTGGCGATGCCTCTTCTTGGGCTCCAGTGTCTGCCTTTGTAGGGAATTAGAGGGGAACCAAGGCTCAGATAAAGGATATTTGAAAATCCAGGGCTGGGTTCCAGTCTACAGTTCACCTGAGAGCTCTTCTGAAATCTGTCTTTCCTCAGGAAACCACAGGGAAGAAAGTATCATCCAAGGAACCAGGGTCATTTCCCTGCTGGTCCCCAGGAATAATCTCTTTCTTTTCTCTCACTGTCTTTTAGGTGCTGGGATATGAATGACAACACAGCTCTGTGGTGGGTGATCAAAGGCCCTGTGGTTGGCTCTATAATGGTGAGTGACCTGTTTGCTCTGTAGGCCTCCACCATATCATGTCATGGGGAAAAGGGTGATGGGAAGCAATGGGCCTGAGCAGAAAAGCACAGCAGGAAGGTAAATAAAGCAGTCATCACACAAACCAATCAATAATCTTCCTTTTCCACAACTGTATTATATTCTACCACCTGGACATGCAAGTTATTTAGCTATCCTGTTTGCCTTTATATTACACCACTTGTGTCCATTGCAAAAGATGCCACTTAGAGCAATTCTATGTATACTTTTGAATATGTGTGAATATTTCCTTAGAATAATTCCCTAGAAGTAGAATTTCTGGGTCAAAAAGAGTGCCCCACACGGTTGTCAGCACTTGTAATACCTGCTCTATCTCCTGGGGTGTAGGGACAGTTCATTGCTTCATGTACATCTCTATATTGGTAGTGCAGCAGAACATTTTTTCTAGATATTTATTGACAACTTGTTTTTTATTCTGGCTAATTCCTGTTTATTTCTTTTGCTCATTTTTCTAGCCCCTTTGTTGTCTCTCTTATTGTCTGAAGGAATGTATATATTCTTTCTCCAGCTGGATATATTGTAAATATGTATATTGTAAATATATATTTCCAAGAATGTCTGATTTCTATACAAACCATCAGGTTTTCTTTTTCATAAATTCTCTTTCTTGTTCAGTTTCTTGCTTTTGTCAAACTACGTTTTAAAATAGTCTTCTCAGTTGTCTTGTGCCATTGTTTATGGGTTGAATTATTACAGGTGCATCTTTTTTTTTTTTTTTTTTTAAAGATTTATTTATTTGTGCATACAGAACTGGGGTACAGGCCAGAGGCTCAGGGGCGGCGAGAGGCTTCACCAGAGACAGAGAGGGGAACAGAACAGGCAGATCGACGAAGTACACTGCTGAGGGGAGCAGCGGACGGGTCAGGAGAGGTCTGCCACGCCATGTGGTCACCTCTGGGGCAGGCGGGAATGGAACTCATGCGGAAGCGGCTTTAGATTCTCAGTGCTGTGCTTTAACCCGCTGCGCCACCAGGGAGGGCCGACAGGTGCATCTTTAACAGAGGTAGAATTTGACTTGTTTGATCTGAAGTGATAGTTAATCATTTTATTTTTATTTTTTCCTCCGTGGACAGACATTTGTCCCTCTTCATCACGGTAGAGTAGACCACCCTCTCCGCATCCTGTGGAACACTCCTTTATCGTAAGCATGCCGTGCCTGCCTCCTGGGACGGCTGAACACTTGCTAATTGCGTGTCTGGGGCCTCTGACTATGCCCAAGACCAGTGCGCTAGTTGTTGCAGCCATGAGCAAGCTCTGGCGTCTCGCACGCTGCCTTCCCCTTTATTTACTCTTTATCCTCAAGATTTTCTTGCCGATTAACTTCTTCAGGTGGACCTTTGAATACTATTGTCAAGTTGTTAAAAAATACAGTCTGGTTGAGATTTTTATAGGAATTCTATTGAATTTAAAAAGGATATTTGTTATAAAGGGGAATTTTCTTCAAATGCTGTCTTCCTCCCTGAGAACACGGCCTGATTCTACACTACTTGGTGTTTGTCATAATTATTTTACACTGTTTTTAGGTGTCTTCCTGATTCTTATTATGTTTGCTTCTAAGTGATTTTCCAGTTTGTGCTTTGTGTCTAGGAATTTTTTTTTTTATTGTAGTTTTAGATGGGCTACGAATGGCATGTAGGAAATACTGGCATGTGGGTTTTTGTGTATTTTTCTCAATTAGTTTTCTAAATTCCTATTCTAACCTCTTGTCAACTGGTTCTCCTGGATTTTCTAAGCAGGGGATTATATAATCTATAAATGCAAATTGTTTTTACTCTACCTTTATGATATTTATATTGTGTATTCCTTGATTTTGTTGAGGATGATGGTGCTACAGTTTAGGGCAATTACTCTTCACTGAATTTGGAAAATGCCTAATCCTGGGACTGTGTGACAGTATGTGTGTTAATCAGGAAGAGATGGTGAATTTCATCAGATGTTTGCGTGACATTTTTTCCCCTTAGTGCCGGACACTAAATAGTATTCCACTTTTTCTTCATTACAACTGATGCTACAATGAGTGTGTTTGTACATATGTTTTCAAGCACATGAATGCGTGTTTAAAATACATCTCAAGGAGTGGCATTTCTGTGACAAAGGTAGCATACATCTAACATTTCATGGGGAGCAAGTTGCTCTCCAGAAGCAGAGTACAAGAGTGCTCACTTCCCATGTCTTTGTTGGCATTTCTACTACTGGACTTTTGGCCAGTCTTCTAGAGGATGATGGTAGTTAATTGTTTTACTCAATTAACATAACAAATATTAGAAGTTTTTTTTTCTTTTTGCATTTCTGGCATAAGACATTTGTGATTGCCATCTTTTCATTCTTTTAAATTCTTCCACATTCTATTTTGTTAATTTTTTTTATTGTCTTGTATTGCTCTTCATAAGTTGTACGATGTTAGTTGTATGTGTGTGCATGCATTTTGTGTTCTTCTGATATTTGTAGCAGGGTTTCATTAGCGTGAGAGGTAATTTGGGAATTTTTTAAAAGTTTGGTTCTAAACAAAGAAGTAGTATATAAGTTAAATCATCTTTAAAGCTCCTATGAAGCTTTGTAAAATCTCAGCCTGGTACCTTATCCTGAGTACAATTTTTTTTTTTTTTAAAGATTTATTTATTTGTGCATACAGAACTGGGGTACAGGCCAGAGGCTCAGGGGCGGCGAGAGGCTTCACCAGAGACAGAGTGGGGAACAGAACAGGCAGATTGACGAAGTACACTGCTGAGGGGAGCAGCGGGCGGGTCAGGAGAGGTCTGCCGCGCCATGTGGTCACCTCCGGGGCAGGCGGGAATCGAACTCACGCGGAGGCGGCTTTAGATTCTCAGTGCTGTGCTTTAACCCGCTGCGCCACCAGGGAGGGCCCCTGAGTACAATTTTTAATTACCATTTACATTTCTTCTGCTGTCTTTGCTTTACTCAGATTTTCTACATCTTGATTTGATCTTATTAATTATTTTCCCATTGATAAAATTTTCTCCTGCCATTTAAAATATTCTATTTACCGGTTGTCCTTTATCCATTCCAACATATTTTTATTTGCATTTTCTCCTTTTGGATTAGCTGTCCATGCAGTTAGCTTGGTTATTTACTGAACTCTATCCAGCCCTGATTAGACACTGGGCCTTCAGCAGAGAACAAGACTGACAGAGCCCGCCCCACTTGGACGCTTTTGACCATCCACTTTGATCTGTAAAAACAAACAAAAAAAGCAAAAGCAAAAACGTAATGTAAAATATAGTTGTATTGCTCAGGACTACTTCCTTCTTTTGTTTCTTTATGAGGACTTTTTATCTTTATTATAATTTCCCTCTTATTTAAGTTAAATTTGTGGTATTCTTTCCCTCGGTTTTGGTTTGAGATCTTAATTGTTTGTTTTTCATGATCGTTTTAGACTTGCCATTCTCTTCATCAGGCGTCATTTCAGCTACCTCCAGATGTTGTTGAGTAGTTCTCTCCTCGACCCTTCTTCCTCTTTACCAGACAGTAAAGTGCCCCTTCCTTTCTCAGGGTACACTCAGCTTCCCACTGCCTTTAAAGAGCTTTTATCCCTGATCTTTACCTGAAGGCAAATGCTGCTACTGCTATTCCCAGGCAGCTCTTTAATTAATAGGGCTTATGCTGCCCATTCCAGTTCCCCATACTTGATGCTGCTGAACTTGGACTTTCTCCAGAGGACAGCTCTCACCTCTGCAACGGCCCTCTTCTCTATCCATTTCAGGTGGTTGTTTTTCCACCACCCTGATCCTATTTACTCTTTCTCTTCCAGAAACTACTCACTTTTCTGACTCACTTCTCATTTCTGTTTCCCAGTGCTCCGGTGGAATTCATTTTCTTTGCGGGAGACTGGGGAGATAAAAGAGGGCCCTCATGCTGCCATCTTGGATTCCATGTCAGATGGGATAGTGACTGGATGGGGAGGCCCTGTTGGACGAATAACAGTCTGTGTAGAGGCAGGGTGTGGAGAGCCCAGAATCACTTCAGTCTTCTTTGTCTTTACTCTTCAGGTTAACTTTGTGCTGTTTATCGGCATCATTGTCATCCTCGTGCAGAAGCTTCAGTCCCCAGACATGGGCGGCAACGAGTCCAGCATTTACTTGTAAGTATCACTGTGTGGGTGACACAGCTACTCCCACAGCTGCGTGGGCCCTGCCCTCAGGTCATAGCAGGATAAGGTTTGGGCTTTGCTGCCAGGGGACTGGCAGGGGTATTTGCAAGATTTCTTTCTGATTAAAGTGCCTTTAAAATGCAGTTGCCCTTCCATCCTTCAGCTGCTCCAGGAACTCTGTTTGCCTGGTGATTCCATGGAAGGGAAATAAGGGGAAAAAAGACTGGCAGATGCCCCATCATAGCATACTAGGGAAACTGAGTTTTGGAAAACACCAGACTCCCTAGGGTCTTTATGGCTTTGAAGTTGGGTTTCCTTTGGGAATTGGATGCTGTGGGAAGCTTGCAGATGCCATAAATTCGCCTCCCTGCACACATCCCATGTGTACAAGTGTGCCCCCACCTGCCAGTCAGGTCGACAGTCTTGCTGGTTTGGCTGCTGGCAGGGGGGTGCCCTCTCTTCACCTTCAGCCTAGAAGTACTGCTGGCTCTCGTCCTCCTCCTGCAACTCCCTCTTTTGTAGAAGAACGCTTGATATATTTGGGGTTGATGGGACTTGCAGGCAGCCTCACACACACCTCACACACCAAATGACTCCAAGGCCATTTGATTTCCTGCTAGTGCTTTTGCAGTCATTTCCCTTGAACCGTCATTCCTTTCTGAAATCACACTAAGCGTCTTCTACTCCCCCATTCTTGCCTTTCGAACAGGCACATGACTAGTGGGGCATGTGGGAGGTGGGAGAATTTTAATGCTGGGGATGAAAGTCAGTCTGCTGTGGTTGACTGGACAGGCCAGGTGGGGACAAAGAGTCTGAAGATGGTCTGTGGGGGTCCACCTTTGGGAACTATAGAAGCCAGCCAAGCAAGTGGAAGGAATATGTGTTCAGTATTTCTTTCTCCATTTTTATGGGAAAGAGAAGGTTACAAGGAGCAGAGGTATTCTTATGGCATCCCATGGGGACTTGGCACTGACTTCATCAGAGACCCTACCCTGGGGCTCAGAACTTCTATTGCTGCTGGGAAGATAAGTAGGAGAGCAGAAAGCTCCCAGAAAGGGTCCCCCTCATTCAACTGTTCTGAGGTGAAGAGGGAAAGCTCAAGTATCAGTCCTGGTCCTTCCCTCAGACTTCTTGGGTTTCCCCAGGCCACCTCCCCCTTTAGTTCCCTTTGGATATGGAGAATGGGCACAGGGTCTGACTTGGTCAGCATGCAGGGAATTATATTTCCCCCCCCAAGGGGATTGTAACTGAGATGGAAAAATTCACAAAATGATGTAAAAATAAACTCTTATATTATAAAAAAAAAAAAAAACTAAATTGGAAAAAAAAAAGAAAGGCTTTTCCCAACTCTTGGTTTGTTTTGTTCTACAGTGTATTTACTGTCTTATTTTTTTCATGATCTTGCAAGTTTTAATCAACCTATGTTAATACATGTATTATGTAGTCAAAAATTACTCATTCATATAAGTCATATAGTCTCTGAAGGTCTGCTGTGGGTGGCCAGTGGAGTCGAGCCCCCGGCAGTGACTAACTATGCTAGAGATCATTCCTTCCTTGGCCTCATGGATCCACAAGCCAGGTCTCTGCAGCTCCCACACTAACAGTTGCCTGGATGCTGAGCCCGTGGGTACCTGATCAGCCCCCATTTCTCCTTTGAGCTCCTGCAGCTCCTGGCTCGTCCCAGTCCCTTTCTGGAAAGAGCCTTTCTTCTTCTGAAATCCCAGGGACCCTTTCTCTACTTCTGCCTATCCAGGGCAGTAAAGGGCCTCAGTAAAGCCTAAAGGAGATGTTTCTGTCCCCAGCACACACTTTGTCAGCTCAGACATTCTGCCTCAGACAGTAAGAAACCCCAGGGAAAAGTATGAGGGTTTCAAGTTTCCATAGACTGGGAGTTATTACGTCCCTTCAGACCTTCCTAATGTGGAAATAAAGACATTTACAGTTGGCACATAGTTTACACACTTAAGCACAAACCCAGGACCTTTCAATAACAGCTAATTGAACATCTAATTGGTTTACTTCTCTTGTGTTAAACAATCCCCTTGCAATCTCAAAAAGTGCATTTTTTTAGGGAAAACCAAACTTCGGCTAGGTTCAGGCCCGAAGACGGAAAGTTGGATGCATATGCTCTGCCAGCTGGGTGGGAGGGCTGACCCGGGGCAAAGGATCAACCTGATCCTAAAATTCAGCAACACGCTTGAGTGTTTGCAGGGTCACAGAGACCCTGTTGTTCAAAGGGAGCAATGATCAAAGTGACAGAGCTGCTAAGAACTGCAGGGAATTTAAAAGCACTTGCAACTCAGTTCTTGCCTGTTTAATGTTCATGAATGCCCGGGTGAGCTAGGTCAACTGTTAAGTAGGAATGCAATGAAGTGATACGAGGAATCTGGTGGGAAGGAGTGAGGCTGTAGCTACAGCGTAGTCAGCCCAAGCTTCATCCCCATCATTCCGGTCCTCAGGGGACTGACAGGCAGAACATGGTTCCACACAAGTCTGTAAACAATGCTTCCTGGAAAAAAAGTTCCAGTTTGTGTACACTTCCCCACCTGGACATGGGGGAGTGCTTTGAGCTGGGAGGTGTCTGTTGTGGGAGAGGGGAGATGAGGAGGGGCCGAGCTGGATGTTGGGGAGAGGGTTGGAAAGGACAGACATGGATGAGGGGGATTTTAGGGTTGTGCCCAAGTCCCCTTGGGCCTCTGGAATTATATGTTGGGCAGACAAACCCCTTCAGATCTGCCCACAACAGCTTTCTGGTTTTTTCCTCTTGTTTCCAGAACAAATTTAAGCCTGGGAGTCCCCAAGAAAGCCCGAGAGGACCCCCTGCCTGTGTCCTCAGACCAGCATTCACTCCCTTTCCTGTAGGTTGGTTCCAGCTGCTCAGATGATAAGGGTTTGTCCTCCGTAGACCAAGACGGTGCTCCCGACCCAGCCTCAGCAGGACCCACTGGGGGCTGAGACCCCTACAAGGGGACAGTGGACGGTAGCACTAAGCCACCCACATTGTCCTACCTGATGTTCCCGGTAGAATCAGTGAATGGGCCAGGACTTGGGCAGCGGACAGGCATGACACGTGGGCCTGGGTCAGGGCTTGGTGTGTGCTCAGTGTCAGCTTGGTCTGGGATAGGAGTCATGGTTAGCCTGATTTTCCCTGGGGACTAGAGTTTACTCCTGGGAGTAGATGACTGGCCCAGAAAGGGGAGGGAGAGGTTGGAGGGTTGGCATCGATTGCTGTGGCATCATCAGCCTGGCTCTGTATAGAACTGGCCTCGTTCCCAGCTGTCACCCCACTGCACGATCTGCACTGGAAGATGCCTCTGGGGCCTGGGGGAGGCAGGGCAACCCCATCTGTATCCTCCTCAGGGACCCCACAGAGCAGATCTCCATGGCCCCCCAGGATAAAGGAAGGAGAAGAGAATAGATGCCGAGGTGGTGTAGGTTGCTCTGCAGAGCTGTGATATTCCTGGTGTCAGAAGGATGACACTGACCTGCAAAGATAGGCTGTTCCATGGCTCGGCAGACGAGCAGTCTGGAAGCTTCTAGTTCAGGAACTCAGCCCACTGCCAAAGGCTTTCAGTTCACCTGGGGCTCCATCTTCCATTTCCAAAGCTCCCTTTCTCTTCTCTAGGAGTATCCACCCCACAATTACTGATTTTACAATATCTGGCAGCAGAGAGAATGGTGACCCCTTTTTTGCAGATGAAGAAACTAGGGCGCAGAGATGGTTCAGCCATCAAGTCACTGACCAGATAAAGCCCTGACCTCAGGTACCCTGACTCCTCACACTGGCAGCCTCCCCCAACCCCCTCAAAGCTGAATCATTCTTGGTGGTGGGGGATGGGGAGGAGGTGGGCAAGGGAAACTGATCTGCTAAGCTGGGTTCTGGCTGGGGTACTAGTGTGGAGTAATGGGCTTCCGAGGACTGGGCTGGGTGCTCAGGGCATACAGGATCAGTAGAGGCTCAGTCTCTTTAGAGAATGTTCAGACCGTGATGTTCCCTGGGTCTGCCAAGTGTCCAACCCAGTACCGATCACCAGGAGCACAGGGTGGATCACAGTGGTGCTGGGCCCCCTGCTGGGTCTCATACTCCCTGGACACAACCCAGGCAGCCCTGCTCATAAGGCATGAAAGCTTTTATGGGGTTTGGCCTGGGGCCAAAGCAGAAGCTGAAGCAGCACATGCTGCATCCCTGGGTGATAGATGGGAGTACAGAGACCTGGAAATTGCTTTGACCTTCCTGCAGACGCACAGCAGTTCTTGGCGGTGCCTGGCCTGGGAGCCAGGTCTTTCCAGCTTCCAGATATGCCTGTGGCCCGGCCCCTGCTTGGGCCCACACCAGGCTGGCCTGCTTGCCAGGCTCAGTAAGAGCCCACACCCGACACCCTTATCTCAGTTTCTTGCCCTCCTGTAGATCCCAGCCACAATGAGCTCACCTGGGCGTAGGTCATCCTCTTGATTAAATTCCCCATTCTTTGCTAGTTGCAATGACTTTTTAAAATTCTGACATCTTACTCATGCCCAATTCTGACATTTCTACCACCTCCTGTGCTCCTTCTTGTGGTTCCTTTTGCCTGGGTCCTGGAGGTTTTCTGGATGGGGCCTTGTTGGGAAGAAGGGATGCTTATCTTTGCCCCTAGATCCTTCTCCTCAGAGCTATCCCATGAGTCAGCCCCTCCTCTGTTCTGCCTCTCACCTTCATTTCAGGGGTACACATCTCTATCGGTGGTAAGATTTCCCAGCTAACTTGCCACTAAATGGCCTTAATATTATTACTCTGAAGAAATCAGAGGAATCTGTTTTTACTGGGATGTCCAGGATCCAGGAAGGGCAAGGACAATGTAGGACAGAGAGGAAATTCTTTACATACCCATCTGGGTTCTCTTAGGCTGACAGATTATCAAATAAACATCAGATAGATTGACAAGGGGAACAAAACAAAAATAAGTTTTAATAATTACTTAGAGACTTCCTGTACACATGCCAGAAGCCCAGTAAGACTGAGGGATTAACAAAATGGCTTCAGGCACTACCCGGATATCGTTAGCTAGAGTTTACGGATATTGGGGAGGAAGGAAGTTTGTCTGGAAGGTCCCCGGAAAGGCACAATGGGGCACAGTGAAGGAGAGGGCTTGCCAAAGGGTGATTTTCCTTTATACGTGGCACATTTTACTCCCTGCCACCTGGGAATTCAGGGAAGAGAGGTCTCAGGAGAGCAGCAGAAGTTTAAGAATTCAGGAGGAGAGTTTGGGCCTGACTTGTAGGAGATGACATCTGAAGGGCATCCCTGGGCCCTGATTTCTAAGGTTCACCCCAGCCCAGGGATCAGGCCACTGGCACAGATGAGAAGGGACCAGCCTTTTGATCTGAGCAAAGTGAATAGCACGAAGACTAAACTGGCTTTCATTCTGGAATACCCAACTAAGAATTTTGTCTTAGAAAAACATGATTCTACATGTCTGTTTCTGTATGTATGTGCAACAAAGCCCCCAGGTGTGGGGTTGCTTTTTTTTTTTTTTTTATTTCCTTTTTTAAAAAAATTATTTATTTATTTATTTATTTATGCACACAGAACTGGGGTACAGGCCAGTTCACACAGAACTGGGGTACAGGGTAGGGGCGGTGAAAGGATTCACCAGAGACAGAGCAGGGAGCAGAACAGGCAGACTGAGGAAGTACACTGCTGAGGAGAGCAGCAGGCGGGCCAGGAGAGATCGGCCGTGCCAGGTGGGTCACCTCTGGGGGCGGGTATCGAACTCGCACTGAAGAGGCTGTGACTAGCTTGCAGTGCTGTGTGCTTACTTGTTGCACCACCAGGAGGGGCTCTGGGGTTGCAGTTTTAAATGCCCTGAAGCAGTGCTAATGCTGCTATTCTGGGGGCCCAGTCTGGGTAGCAGAGCCTCCCACATCTCACACCCTGTACCTGCAAAGTGGGTGATTGGCGCCTGCCTCACAGAGTGGTGTGAACTGAAAGATGCAGTTTATTAAATGAGGCCCACAAGCCTGGCAGAGGTGCAGGCGCTGAGTGGGCTTTGGCTTGCCTGCTCTTTGAAGTGTGTGATTCAGGTTCTTGCCTCAGCGAAGCGACATGTCATCCCACGTCGAGGACCATAAGTCTTAGACTTAGCTTGAAGAGTTGGAATCACAAAGAACACATGCGTGAGTGCTGAAGAGCTGGTCTCATTGCACCTGTTGTCCTCACTGGCAGCCTGTCCACACTCAAATGGCTCAGTTCACCCACAGGTACCAGTAGCTCAGCCCCTGAGGGGCCAGAGGGGGTCGTTGAGGCAGGCACCTCCTGAGCAATCTGTGAGATGATCTAGCTCCTAATGCATCACTTGCATGTTTGTCAGAGAAGGAAAGGAAATGTCCCCGCTGTGCCAAGCTGAGCAAAAGCAGGTGCAAGAAAGGAAAGCGCAGTCCCAGACCTGCGCCCTCAGCGGTGGTGGCTCTGAGCTTCACCCTCTAGAAGCATCTAGCCTGGCAGCCCGGGCACCTGTGAACGTTTCTGCAAGTTGTGCCCAAAGGGTGCCTGTCTCAGCCTTCAGCGCCTGCTCCTTGAACTAGTAAGAAATCTAGCCTGGTGCTGTGCAGTTGAACCTCAGCACCGGTGGGAATGGCCTAGTCTGTGCTGACCTGGGAACTACCACTTACTGCTAAGGCAGTGGAGTTTCCATTTGATTCAGTTTTTCATTCAGATACTGCAGGGATGACAGTGCAGATCTACATTTGTCACGGAGGTCTACCGTTCCCTCCTTCCTGGCTTTGCTTCTCCTGTCAAAACTGACACTGAGGGGCTGGAGCTCAGAGAGAGGAGGTATGGGCAGGAGAGAGAGAGGTGTGAGGGACCAGTGGACACCGAGTTAGTCATCACCGCCAAGCCCAGAGCTGGCCTGGTCTGTCCTGTCTTGGCGGTGCCAGATCCGTGGTGTGAGCTTTGAGCTGTCCCGCTGAGTGACCTCTGGCAAGGCTCTGCTCTGAGCCTGGAGCTGACTCTGGGGACAGCTTCTAGTGCCCTGATGAGACCCAACCTGTGCCTACTTTCTGAACACGTACCTTCCCTCTGAACCCTGCACCTGTTGCTGGTGCCAGTGTGCATACCCGTGTGCCTGTGTGTCTGCACACACCTGTGCGTGTCCGGGCGTGCGTCTGTGTCCAGAGCTGACCACGTCTTGAACCTTGACTTCCTCAGTCTCCTCCACATCAGTCACTGCCCCAGCCCTGTCTACACCCTCGGCCCTTCCTCCCCGTGAACCATGTTGCTCTAAGTCCCACCACAGTTTCTTCATTGCCCGATGCCCCCAGCTGACAGAAGTGCTGATCTTGTCACACCCAGCAGCTGCGTGCAGAAATGCTACTGCAAGCCACAGCGGGCTCAGCAGCACTCTTGCAAGATGTCAGAACTGTCCACCATTACTCTGTAAGTGTGCGTGGCGTGACTGTGGCGGGTGTCCTGGACGGGAGGGCATCGCATGCTGCTGCCGCTGCCCAGAGCTTGCGTCTCGTCAGGCTGCGCCTCGTCCCAAGCCCTCCCTGCCCCCAGCTGTTGCATGTCGACTGTGTGTCTTGTGAGTTCTTTGCAGCCATGGGGCGGCAGGGGTGGTTGTAGGTATGGAGTTGCTGTCACGGTAGGGCAGGGGGGCCCGCCTGTGCCAAGGAGGCTGCTCTAAAACCTACTGCTGCTGTTGCCTCTGACGGCGGCGTGGGGAGGACCCCCCTAAACCCCCCATATCTCTGAGCTTCTGTCTTTGCAACTGCTAGTTACTTCTAAGGGTCTGAGAGCTTTAGCTCATGGACACTGCTGCCCTGCATGCGATAGGAAACTCCACTCATACTTCATGTGCAGAGTGACTTGACCCCATGAGGTGGGTCCTCATACTATCCTCATCCTGCAGGTGAGAGAAACAGAGGGAAAGTGACTTGCTCGATTGGCAGGGCGAGGATTTGAACCCATGGCATCCTCGCACCAGGCTCCGTGGTGTCGTGACTGCCACAGCAGCAGCAGTCTCAGTTTGGACTTCCCCGGAGTTGGGGGGGAGCACACTATCTTTTGGGTGGCTCTGACCATTGGCAGCACTTGGTATTATTAAAGACTCTTCTACTCATTGGTGCTGCGTTGGCTTCTTGAGAGGCCAAGAACCAGTGTCACTGTCTTTCCCACCTAATCCGAGCCAGAGCACAGCATATGGCCCCCTTCCAAGGCTCTGCTCAGCCCTCTAGGACAGGGATCCCAGAACCCCGAGCCACCTCATCTGCCCCCACAGCCCCATCTGCCAATGGAATTGCTGGGGTTTTGGGTCGCTACAAGCTGTGGGGGAGGGAGGCGTTGCCCTTGGACTTCACTTTGGGGTGCCCTGCCTGACAACGCCTTGGAGCTAGGAGTGGTGTGGGCCAGGCCTGAAAGGTGCGTTTCTCAGCTGTTGAACCTGTGGTGCTGCCATGGCTGGAGAGGCTGGGCCTTCTGGTTTTCAGGGCCCTCTTCAAATCACCTGGACAGGCCCTTGGCAATGGGCCTGTTCATGGGTGAGGAAGCAAGAGGGAGACCAACAGAAGCTATGACCCTGCCTTTTTACAGAACCCAGTTAGGGCCACAGAGGAACCTCTGAGATACCTAGATACCCATGTTTCCAGACCACTTTTCTCATTGCGGGACTTTATTTCACAGACAACATTCCCTGCTGCCTTTGGGTGCCAGGAGCTCATAGAAAAGCAGGCCCTTTGTTCCAGGCCCTGCCCAGCCAAAGGGCTTCAAGGCCAGGCCTGTTTATACATCATGGACATGACTTCCCTGGTATGGGCCTTGTGCCTGGCATGCAATGACCACTGACGTGGGATAAATGACCACTACTCAGCCTTCAAGGAGCTGCAGTCTGGGGTTGACAGGCAGCTGAGAGGAAGAGCGAGGGGCTAGACTACTCCAGGTTGGCTTCCTGGCTCAGAGAGGCACATGCTCTGGTCCAGAAACCCCTGGGCCCTACAGAATGTGCTGCCTGTGAGCAGGGGGAGCGGGTGGTCACCCACCTTGAGGAGCTTTTTCCTTTCAGGACTGAACCTTGTTCTACCCCAAGGTCCCCCGTCCCTCCTCTGTGCCTCTTTTCTTGCTTCTCTTTCTTCCCTTCCTCCCCACTCCCTTTCCTTTTCTCTCAGTATAATGAAGAAGGAAACACAAGGCCTCACTCAGAATCTGTTGATTCAGCTTTTCCTAAAATCTGGAGCTCTCACATTCAACAGAAAGTTCTTTTCCAGAGAGAATAGGATGGGAGTGACACATGGGGTAACTGCCCCAAATCAAATGGCCACAGGCTAAACCTCTCCCTTGCTCCCCCACTTGGTGAAAGGGACAGATGCACCTGTGAGGCCTCTGAGGCAGGACTGACTCTTTGAGGCGATACAGAGCCAGTGTGGTGGAGTAGACAGAGATGGGGAAACTGTCTGGATGCATCCCTCAGTGGGACTTCAAGGCACAGAGCCCCAGCCCACTGCACCAGGGAGTCAGTGGCAGGCACTAGAGCCCCAGAAGACCTGGCCTCTGGAGGCCTGGTGGTCTATCTGTGCACCCCACCTCTGTAGCAGGTAGCATCTCCCTTTGAGTGATTCTGGTGACAGTTGTTCTGTTCAGTTGGTGATCCCTTATGCCGAGTCAGAAAGTCCTTCCTATGGCCCCTACCTAGTTCCACTTTCTATGGGACACTCACAGTGTTCCCCACCCTGCCTCCCTGTTACCAGAGCCTCCCTCCCCATCACTCTCCAAGTGCCCCTGGCTAGCCCAGACTCAGAACGGCCCACTGTCTTTGAGGCCCCATACGGGCTTCTTTCGTAAGGGGCTTCGTCAGAGCAGGGGAGCCTGAGTGCCATTTGAGGACCATCATCACATCCTTCCACCTCTGAATTCCATCCTTGTAATTGCTTTGACTTCATTTTTCCAAGGGGCTTATCATGACTCACAAAGCATCTGCATACCTCACACACAGTACAGTTCTGCAGGATATGACCGTGACTTCTGGGCGTGGTGCTCTGCAGACTGGGGTGCGTCTCTCCAGTATATCCCAGGGAGTTATGAAAGCCTGGGCCCTGTTGCTACTGTCTTTCTAGACCCCACACACTGGGAGGGACTCCTGAGGGGATCTGTGGAGAGGTGCCCTCAGTTCTGTGGGAGCTGGGACAGTTCTCTGCACTGTATGGCTCTGACTCCAAACCCTGGCAGCCCCCAGAATAGATAATCTTGTTCTCTTGACAGACGGCTAGCTCGGTCCACTCTGCTGCTCATCCCGCTATTTGGAATCCACTACACGGTATTTGCCTTCTCCCCGGAGAACGTCAGCAAGAGAGAGAGACTCGTGTTTGAACTGGGGCTGGGTTCCTTCCAGGTAGGCATGGCATGTGCAGAGGGTGGAAGCCACTGGGAGCCAGAGTCCCAGTCTCAAAACTGCTGGTGGTTCTGGAACCTTCTTTAACCTAGACTAGAGGCTTCTATGTTTCTGAACTTAATTTCTGAAATAAAAGTTGTAGAATACAAGCAGCCGAGACAGCCCCTTCCATGGGGCTTTGTGAGCACTACCCCTGTCTGTGTCCCCAGCACAGAAACTGGCCACAGAAAGCTGGATGAGCAAACTCAGACAAAAATAAATGCCCCAGGAAGTGAGAGAGTGGGTAGACGGTGACCCTGATGTTACAGAAGGTTTGTAAACAGTGCAGGAGGGAATGAATCACAGCAAAGACGCGGCCAGTATGGGCGGATGGGAGTAGGAGTTGGTCAGTGAGCTGGGGGGTCCCTTGAGTGTTGCTGGGACAGAGGATCTCCCTTAACTCACCTGTTCATACAAGATTTGATCTTGACGGTCAGAGAGTAGTAGTGTATCAGATGTAATCTCCCATTTCAAATCAAGGTCATTGTACCTGTTTAATTTAACCTGGTGAGAGTTGAATAATAAAGCCTCAACTTGGGAGTCCTAGCCCAGGTTTCCTGTCTCAGCACAAAATTCTCAATTCAAGGATATATGTAGACTAGCTGAACACCTACTCTGCGCCAAGCATTTACTCAAGTGTCTTGCATCTGCTGGGTATCAGAGCACCTATCTCCGTGGGCCCCATGCAATGCAAGGGGATCCTGACAGGTGGAGAGGCACCCCCACCCCAGCTCTGTGAGAGGGTGGCGTGGGTGCTGCTGGGAATAAAGACACGATCAGCCCTGTCCTAGATGCTTCCCTCGGTGCACCTCTGGGTGGCTGGGGAACCCAGAGAACATTCTGGGACATCGAGGAAGGAAGTGATAAGAGTGGCCTTTGGAATGGAAGGATTCGACTAAGGGAAGGGGACATCCAAGCCAGCGTGCGTCAGTGGGAGGGGACTCTGGCCCCTTAGCTTGATGGGCCCCATCTTTTCCTAAGTTCCGGGGTTACTCTTCACTCCCCCACTCACTTCCAGTGCAGCATGCATAGACCCCTGGCCAGCTTACTCAGGTTATTTTTGCTCTTTCCCCAGGGCTTTGTGGTGGCTGTTCTCTACTGCTTTCTGAATGGGGAGGTAAGACCCGCCCCTCTGGCTTCTTAACCACAAGGAGGGGCCTGCTGGCAATTAGGTAGGGGCACCGCCTGCTGCTAACCCAGGACTAACTCGTCAGGCCAGGGCAGTCCCAGCCTTCCAGAAGCTAGGTGAAGGGCTGGCAGCAATTTGGGGGTCTCCTGATGGATTCACCCTGTGCTAGAACTTGGCCTGCTGTGCCACCTAGCTCTGGCCACTGGACAGATCCCCTACAGTAAAGACATCAGCTGTGGCGTGTAGATGTGCCCTTGAGGCTCTCATCTTAAGACTCACCTTAGAGAAGAATTGCAAGTGACGACAAGCAAGGTGCAGGGCAGGGCCCCTCGGACAGGGACAGGTGGGCGGGATGGGCATGGAGAAGGGGCAGGAGTCAGCGGGTCAGTGCCTGAGTCTAGCTGTGTGATCTCATGACTTCTGCAGGTTCCTGTTCCCTTTCACACGTGAGGAGTAAGCAAATCGGACCCAGTGATACACCAGTCCACAGAAGGATCAGCTTAGGGTAGAGCGGTCTTACACGAGAGGCTGGGAGAGCCACGAAATGGGAGCACAGATCTGGCCAGGCGCTGCAGTGGTTAGCTAGAGCAGGCGGAGCAAGTGTGGGTACCAGTTGTGCACTGTGTGAAGGCGCTTGCCTGAGGTGCGTGAGGAGGCTGAAATGTGGCCTGCCTCACACCTCATCTAAGAGCATCCGGGTATGTTCATCCAGAGGGGTGCACTGTTTAGTGGGTGTCACCCCTGACTGCATGTTCGAATTGCCCAAGAAATCCTAACCCAGATGCTGAGGCCTAGATATACTGATGCAGTTGTGTGAGGATGTGTCCTGGGTGTCTGAATTTTTTGAAGCTTTTTAGGTCATTCGAATGTGGAGATGTGAATGACCAGCTGAGAGTGGGATCCCTTGGTCCACCTACCCCAAGCACCTGCTTTTTAAAGATTATTTGCAAGAGCCGACGAGCTAGTTTCTGAGTGTGGAACGCGAAGAGCCAGAGAGCCATTAGAGGGCCTTGCCCAGTGACTGAGGAAGGGCAGCAGTTTGGAAGTGGAGGTGGTGTGGGTGGAATACTGCTGGGTGGCAGTGCCAGCCCAGGGAGGGCCTCTGCCAGGGCAGGCGGGTGGATGAGGTCCTAGGGATGTCCCCGCTGATGGGACGGCCCTGTTGCTCCTGCAGGTGCAGGCGGAGATCAAGCGCAAGTGGCGGAGCTGGAAGGTGAACCGCTACTTCGCTGTGGACTTCAAGCACCGACACCCGTCCCTGGCCAGCAGCGGGGTGAATGGGGGCACCCAGCTCTCCATCCTGAGCAAGAGCAGCTCCCAGATCCGCATGTCCGGGCTGCCAGCTGACAACCTGGCCACCTGAGTGCCCTCCCCTCTCCTTTCCTCTGTACACAGGCTGGGGCTGCGGGGCGCTGGCCTGGGCATGCCCTGCTCTTCTCTCCCCTCGGGCAGGCCCTGGGCTTCCTGAGGGGGGAGGAGGATGCAGGAAGCAGGCGGGTTTTCTCCTTCCCATTTTGGCGCTGTTCCCACCCACCATGGGCCCGGGGTCCTGACCCCAGATGTGTAAATATTCCTCCAGTTTGGAAACTTTGTCCCACCCCTACTCCTCAGCCGGGTGTCCCTGCTTGCCTTCAGCAGGTCCCCAGCTCCATCTCACCCTGTCTCACCAGCGGTGGTGACTACTGAACATATGCGTGAGGCCTTGTGAGCTAAGCCTGAAGGCCTTGCTTTGAGGGAGCTAGGGTGTGGCCTGCCTGACAGCCTCCCTTGGTGTCTGACTCGATCTGGAATGAATGAGTCTGTTTCCCCCCCCCCCCCAGGCCCCTTCCCCGGCCTGGGCTCAGTCCCTGACACCTGCCAGAGGTCCATGTGGTTGGGCTGGAGTGTCCTCCCCTATGGGCCATACTCAAAGCTTCCTCATGCTCACCTAACACCCTGGTGTCCAGGTGCCGCGGTCCTGAATATGAGGCAGTGGGACAGCTCCAGGCCTCTCCAGTCAGACTGCAGTTGGGATGTGGGGCTGAGGGTCAGGGAAGTTCTGGTGCTTTTCACTTAATTCCTAAGAGCCAGAAATATGGATGTGATTTGAGAGGAGATTGAAGGCGTTTTGGGGGACACCCATGGATGAAGATCTTCACCATCTCCATATTTCACCCCTGTTCAAGTTGGGCTGGGGTCATCTGGTAGCTTTCCTTCTGGCTCCCACCCCCAGGCATCAACCACAGAAGGTGAGAGACACATGCCCTGGAGAACTGCTTGCTGATCCTTTACCATATAGAGCCCCTAAGCCTTCCTCCTCCCCAGCTCCCCATAAGTCAAAGCCATGATAGGAATCTGCCTTCCTGTGATGTTAGTGAATGCTGAAGCCCGTCACAGCTCCATGTACCCAAGGTCAGGACCACCTCCCCCGTCCTCCTCATGGATGGGAACCCCATCGCCAGCTCTTCTGACCTAGGCTCAGCGATTGATAGATCTCAGACTCTGCAGAGCTTTCCCTCTTGACATTGAATCACCACCGATGCTGGAGTGCCGAGAAGGGAAGCCGCTGCTCCCACACCTTTCCTGGATCCCTGGCCACAAGTTATACAATGACAAGAGCTTAAGGATTTCAAAAGGCCAGAGCCAGTCTGGGGGATGCCAGAGGAAAGGGCTAGAGTGCCTGAGTCTGGGGCTGCTTCATTCCATGTTGACTCTCGGTGTGGTTCCTGTTCAAGTGTGTGCACATTTGTTTTGTTCTTATCATCTGGGAAGCTTGGGGAAGGTTTCTTAGCTTGATTCTATAAAGAGTATGGGTTTTCAGGATGCCAACTCTGGAAATGTTCTGGAGAGGTCTTTGAAGTGACTGGAGAAGGTTACGGTTGCTTGGTTTAGGGTTGGGTACTGTGTCCTTGGCCACCACTGGCCCCAGGACTTTGCAAAGCCAAAAGAAGCTCCCCCCTTTCCCTGGCATGTGGGGTCTCCCTGGCTTACCGTGGGTGTGCAGTGACACTGCCATCCCGCCCCTGGCTCTGGGACCCACCCTGGTGTCTGTTGACCACTGGGGGTATCCCTGGAGGCCTGGGTTGCTTAGAAAGAGCCATGCACTGGAATTAAGACCTAGAATCTGCTCCAGTGGGGTCCAGACTGCTGAGACAGAGGACACAGTGCTTGCTGCTGTGGACCTTAGTTTCCTCACTGGTGAGGTGGGTGACTGCTAGAGCTTCTCTAGGCTTGGTCCTTCAGTAATTCACCGGTTCAAAACTACAAGGGCTGGTACCATTGTCATGTGTCATCTGATGTGTTGAAGTGTGTGTGTTTGTCTTTGTAGAGGTGAAGGGGGTAGGTTATAAGGTTCCTTCGTTAGATATTTCTGTCTCTTCCCTTTGGATGTCACAGTGGCTGTTGGTGGGCCAGAGGGAAGAACGGGGCCGTGGACAAATGGCCAGATGCCTTGGGTGTGATGGACAGACCCAGCCAGGTCCTTGAGGGCCAGAAATGGATGGTCACTTAATTCCTAAGAGCCAGAAATATGGATGTGACCCATAGGTCCTGGGAGTAGGCACCTAAGTATGGACCCTACTTCTTCCTATCCCCACCAGAAATTTTGCTTCACTGAAGAAGAAACTGACTTTATAAACTCATCGTAAAATTGCAAAAACAAAATTAAGCCTCAGCTTCGTGCCATGCTGCCTCCTGAGCCCTGGGCCAGTGTCTTTGAAGATGTTCCTGGCTCCTGCCATTTCATTTCTTTCTGAACACCTTGCCAGTCTTGTAAGCAGATGTCTTTTGAGTATCCAAGAGGCCAGGCAGCTGGCCTTCAGGGTCACAGATAGTGGGGGGCTCACATGAGGTCTGGAAAAACCCTCTCTGATGCCTGGTTTTCAGATCTGTAGAATGCAATGAGGTCAGAGCTAGGTGGCTCTGGCGGCCCTGGCTTTGCAGGCTTCCTGACTCCACCCTGCCAGAGCCACGTCTTATGCTCTGTCTCATTGCTCAGCTCCGCCAGCCTACTTGACACACGCAGTGTTCTGCAGCGAATCCTTCTCCAGTGTCCATCCCTCTTCTCCCCTGGGGGAATCGGGCCAGGGAGCTGGCACTGCACCCAAGACTTGGTGCACATGTGTTCATCCCCCACCAAAGGCGCTGACCCAAAAAGGGGTCCTGCCCTCCCCCCTAAGGAAAGCTAGAGGAGACTGTCTGTGGAATCCCGTACAGCCCTTCCACATGGGACGGAGGACCTAGGGCCTTCCATCTTTGTCACTCTGCTCTTTGGCCTTTATCCTTACGCATATATCTTTGGGGAGGCTCCATCCTGGAGCTGGGTGAGAACTTGGAGCTCTGCAGCTCAAGCTTTCTGGACGGCTGACAGGGCTTCGCAAGGTGCCTGAACCATATTGGGATCCAGTATTATTTTCAACCTGAATGAAGAAATGAGCTGCCATGTACCCAGCCCTGCATGTGAGCTGGAGAGACCCTCTTAAAACTGTACAGAAAACATTCAGTCTTGCCCAGGAGAGGATGCTGCCTGCAGACTTAGGATTCCAGGCTGCAGGAGAAGCAGTGGAGTCTGTAGCTTGGGGAGACCTCAGCTCTGACCCAGGCTTCATCATCTGCTCTGATTTCTGGGTCTGTGCATCCCAGTCTGAGAACAGGGGGGCGTAATGGGCAGTCTGTTGCACAGGCCAGGGATGAGGTTGCAGTGAGGCACCCTCCTGTACCAAACTTTGGAGACCTCGCAGGTGTGGGCATGATGGGGCCGATGCCTCAGCAAGGGACCTGGTGCTGTGTTTCTACTCCTGTGAGCCTCCTGGGTTAACCTTTGCCCCACTTGTAAAAACACCAGCACTAGGGGCAGGGAAAGCTGGAGAATGGGGCTCTGATGGACACAAGATTCCAGGTTTTTGTTAACAGATTCATTTTGCCCTTGGGGTTAGGGTGGGTGACTTCCGTGTGGGTGATGTCAGCATCTCTATCCCCCATGGGAAGCCTGCAAGGATCTGGAGCATTTCCTTTCCCCGAACTTGAAGTCCTGGGATGTGTCCGTGCTTGATCTCGTGTGTCTTGTCCTGTGTTCGTCTTCTGTAGCTTTGCCCCTGTGAGGACTGGGGTGGGGTAGCCCCGGCATCTCAGACATGGCTTCAGACTCGCTGTGGGAGTGGCTCCTTCTGGATGTCATCCCCCACGATGAAGATAAGCCCCCCACACCTCACTGCTGCTGTCATTAATGCTGTGCTCACAACCTTGTCCGGTATTTTCAGGATGTCAGACTGCTATAGATGACTCAATAAATGTCTTATCATTTTTCCTTGTGGCTGTAACATGGAGGAAGGGGAGGGCAGGGAAGAGGTGGTATAGGAGGGGTCTCCTCTAAGATCTGTTCACTCAAGAGTAAACAGACTGTAGACTGTGACTCAGACTACAAGGGGGGTGTCCAAAGGAGAGAGCTGAGCACAGGCCTGAATGTGCTCAGACGGAATCGGAAAAATAAAGCCTGACGTCAAAAGAATCTTCAGGGATTCTGCATGTTGAGTGGAATCAGAGTCACTTGAATATTTTGGATTCCTCAAAATGAAAGCAACCACCCTGCACACTTTAATGCATCATAGTCTTCCTATTTTTTTTTTAAGCGAAGCTCTTTTTTTTTTTTAAATCTATTTATTTTATGCATACAGAACTGGGGTACAAGCCAGAGGTGCAGGAGGTGAGAGGATTCACCAGAGACAGAGGGGGGAGCAGAGTAGGCAGACCTAGGAAGTGCACTGCTGAGGGGAGCAGCAGGCAAGAAAGGAGAGGTCTGCTGCGCCACATGAATCACCTCTGGAGTCAGGGATCGAGCTGGCACTGAAGCCATTGTGGCTGTCCTGTAGTGCTGCGTCCCAACCCGTTGTGCCACCAGGGAGAGCCCACCTTCCTACTGTTTTATGGGAGTGGCTGCCAGACACCCCCAGATCTTGCCTGCCTGAGCATTTATTCCAAGTCACCACAGTCATCCAGAGTCTCCTCCCCTAATGTGTGAGGATAATCAGAGGTATCAGCCCCTGGCCAGACCAGATAAACAAATGCAGGAAAGCCTTGTTCCCCAGAGGCTCTATTGATTGCCACGGCCTCCAGTGCCCCTTGTTAGTTGCTAGCAACACAAGGTAGTTGTGGCTTATACATCGGAAAGTGCTTACAAAAAAGATATTGGCAGCTCATAGAATTCTCATAAAGCTGAAGAAACCAGATAAGGCATGTGGCATGCCTTGGACCTGACTGACATGGCTGCCGCTGGTCCACTGACCTCCCTTTCTTGCCAGGGACCTGACCCTGCAGTGGCCCACTACTGCTCTGAGCAGCCCCACCAGCAACGGCTTCCACGGCCAGCATTTTCCTCAAATCGCTCACTTCTGGCTCACATTCTTACGAGTTTGTTGGACTGTCTGTGTTCCACCTGCCAGGGAGACTGGAAATTTGACCTTTCTATATTCTACCTCTGGAAGGTCATGCTGCTGACGCTGGGAATTTTCTAAACTTAGCAACAGCATTAAAAATTCCTGGTTTAAGGGGGGAAATAATAATAATAATAAAGAACCATATACCAGAGGTATTTTAAGGGGGTGGAGTGGGGAATGGGATCAAAAATGTGGTGGGGGGTGCACTGGACTATGGAGATGGCACATGGGTGATTGGGCGATGGGAAGCC